TGTTCCATCTGTTCTTTGTTCTTTTTATTTATTTTTTTTACTGTCATATTTTGGATGGATTGAACTTTTTAATGGTTCTGTTTATCCCCTTTATTAATCTATTATTATACCTCTAGTTTTAATTATTAGTAGTTTCCCTAGGTTCTACAAAAAACATCTTTAATTAATGATATTCTATTTGCAAGTAATATTTCCACTTCCTCTGTTGTATACTGCTTCTTTACTTTAGACAGTTGCTTAATCTCAGAGCAATTAAATGAAAGGAAAAAATTTCATGTTCATTTATTCCATTTCATTACTCTTAATTATGTAAATCCAAGTTTCCTCTGGTACCCTATTCCTACTGCCTGAAATTTTTTCTTTACTGTTTCCTCTAATGCAGGTCTACAGGTAATAAATTTACTCATTTTTATCTGAGAAAGCCTTTATGTGTCCTTTGTTTCAGAGATACCTTTGCTGGATATAGAATTCTAGATTAGCAGTGTTTTTTTTCTTTCAGGCCTTTGAGATGCTCCTCCATTATCTTCTGCCTTACCTTTTTATTACAAAGAGCTGTTGTGATTATTCTCTTTGTTTCTCTGCATTTACTGTATCTTTTTCTTTACCTGTCTTAATCATTTTCTATTTTGGTTTCCAAAAGTTTTATACATAGAAATTTTTTTTATTATGGTTATTTTTCTTGTTTGGTGTTCTCTTAGCTTCTTGGAGCTAAGGTGGGTTTAGTTGTTAATTTTGGAAAATTGTCAGCCGCTTTTTCTTTAAATATTTCTACTGTCTTATTGTCTCTGGCTTTTTCTGGGAATACAGATCTTGCACTGTTTGTTATTGTCTCACGGTTCTCGGCTGTTCTGTCCTGTTAACTACCCCTGCCCCCATTTTCTTTTGTTATTCCAGTTTGGGAAATTTTAGCTGACCGATCCTGAGATTCAGATTCTTTCTCAGTTGTGTAAAGTCAACCAATCAGCTCCTTAAAGCCATTCTTAATCTATATTAGTGTATGTGTGTGTTCATTTCTAGCAATTCCCTTTATTCTTTCTTAGAGATTCCATCTCTCTGCTAAAATCAACTATCAAATATTACAGCATCCACAATATCCATCTCTAAGTTACCAATCAGTTATTTTAAATTCCATACTTGATAGTTTCAACACCTATGTCTCCTTTGAGTCTTATACTGTCAACTGCTTTGTTTCTTGTCAATGTGGATATTTCTATTTGATTCCTTATAGTTTTATTGTTGAAAGACAGTCACTTGATAAGACAGTGAAGATTGAGATAAATCACTTTTATTCCTAAAAACAGGCACGCCTTTCCTTTTTTTTAAATATTTTTTTAGTTGTTGATGGACCTTTATTTTATTTATTTGTATATGGTGCTGAGAATCGAACCCAGGGCATCATGCATGCTAGGCAAGCGCGCTACCACTGAGCCACAACCCCAGCCCCTGTGCCTTTCCTTTTTTTGGATCAGTCTAATCAGGACACTAAGGGAGGTCACCCCTTACTGGGGAACAGGTACAGTGCCTAAGACAGAAGTGCTTGATCAGAACAGAACATTATTCTCAATGCAGCTAGATTTTGTGACCCTGTAATTTAAGCTTTCACTGCTTAGTAGAGATAGGAACCAAAGCTCTCTAAAGGACACTTTCATAGAATTTACACCAGTCTTTTCTGTGAGCACCAAGTTAGGTCCTGTACATATATATTTCCTTCATACCTTCACCCTCCCAGGGTGTATATTATTTCTCTGGACTATACTCTCCTTTTACCATTTTAGCCATTTTCACTGAATTATTATTACTAGGATCTAGCTGAGTCAGCCTCTCTTAAGCTCATGTTCATCTCTCCTTGAAATCTCTGTCTTTCTTTACATTTTTGGTTCATTGGATCTCCCATGACTTCAGCTCTCCAGGGCTTTAAAGACAAACTGTGAATCTTCAGTTTGTCTGACTTAGCATTGTAATGGTGAGCGGCTTTTTATGCCTCAAACAGAAATATACATTCTTTTTTGAAAAATAAGTATTCCAAATATGTCCATGCTAGTTTGAGATGGTGCCTATGTGTTTCCAAGCTAAAAGACAGAATAGAATCCCCCAAAACTGGGATGGTATGTAGCTCAGTTGTAGAACACTTGCCTATTGTGTGTGAAGCCCTTGGTTCCATCCCCAGGTCTGGGGGGGAAAGTTATTTTTAAAACAAAACTTTGCAGGCTTATTTTGGAAAGCATTTGCTATTCTCAACATCTGCCACTAGGGGGCAACTGGCCACATGACTACACCTCTTATTAGGTTAGGCCAGGTTTCCAAAAGGGAAATTTCATTGTGCACTGTGAAAGGCAGATGCACGCAAAGCAACTGATGTTCAGAAAGAGAGCCTGTTTTCTGAGTTCTCAGGACATTGAGACCCCAGTCCTTCCAACGGCCACAGCTTACCTTCTGTAGAGATCAGATAGCTTCCTTTATTCTCTGGTTGTTTTCAATTGTGAGCACGCATATTCCCAGCGCCTCACTCAGTACCTAACCTTTGCTCCATCAAGACCTGAGAGGCTGCCTGAACCTTCGAAGTGGGCAGGAAGTAGCACCTTCAGGTATATGTGTCTGTCTGCTCAGTAGTGGGCAGGCCAGGGAGTTGGTTCCAGCCCAACTTTGAGGATAGGAATTCCCCCATAATAGGGAGGTAAGAGCCACAGGGGTATGGAGCTGTCCTAGTTTAAATGGTTTATCTGGGAGAGTGGTGAGAAAGCCAAAATCATAGTGGTATAACATAATGGAAGTAGGGGTCTCGTGCAAAGAAAGTCTAAACTGTGCTCTGATTGGCAGGCAGTTCTTCCCTAAGTGAGGAGTCGAGAGTCCATGGCTGCCATCATGTAGTACCACCATCTCCTGCAGGAAGCATGGATAAAGAAGGGAAGAGGAGGAGAGAGCCCCCCACACACACACACACATACACTCTCCTAGTCACATCCCCCAGCACTTCCCATGTTGCTTTTCTCATAGCCCATGGGTACAGCAAGGCACCTGTTTCCTCCCAAATGCTGGGGGCCTGGGGACTGAGGAATGTAGTTGTGGCTGGATGGGTATTTCCAATGGCAACTCTACCCTCAGGAAAGGGGAGAACAGCCAGACCTGAAATGCCCAAGTTGTAACCATAGGAACTGCTTTGAACACATCATTGTCTGAAACAATATTTTCCCAAATTGTCTGATTTCACGAACAGGGGATGTTTATTTAAAATGTAGTTCTTGAATACCCTCCCCAAACTGGCCATCTATGCCTGAGGCCTGGAACTCCAGGAAGCCATGCTGCTCTAGCCATTCTAAAAACAGTATTGATAGACAGAGCCTCTGCCACCCACCCCCAGCCCTATGGGTGGGAAAACCAGGCCAAGCCCTCTCTGTTTGTGTGATGACTCATGGAACCATGGGACAGGTTCTGGACATCACCCAAAGGAGGCCTGTTTCTGAGCCAGCCCTTTAGTCCTCCCTGGGTGTCTCCACCCAGAAGCTCAGCCCTGCAGCAGAGGCAGGCTGAGCCACCCCGATCTCCCAAACCAGACATTTCACTGCCAAATTAAATGAAAACCCCTGAGCGGGTTCTTGGTCAGCAAACTGGGGTGGGGATGAGGAAGGAGGGAAGAGAATATTTGTGCTCACATTTTCTCTTTAGCAACACTAGAGGACAGCATTGAGTCAAATTTCCAATTTCTAAACAGAAAAGCTACTATTCATAGTTCAGTCTTAGATTTTATGTATTTATTTGCCTTTTTGCTCTTGCCATGGCACCCTTAGCATGAATCATGGACTCTGGCAAAAGAACAAAGCAGATGGCCAGAGGCCCTGGGCTAAATTTCTCTGCTATGACTCCCAGGAATGGGGCTTACAGGAAAACTAAGTGAAGCCTCCACAGGAGGATGCTGTCACTCAGTTGGAATACAGAATTGGGAAAGCTGTCTCCCCACTCCTTCCTGCTTCTCATCTATGACAATACTCTTGTGTAATTGGTTGTATCATTAGGATTTCACTGGATAGAACAGCAGCTCAGGATCTCCTAGCAAATTCCAAATATAATTATAGACATCACCTCTCTCCTAGCCCTCCCGATTTTCCACATTTGGAGCTCTTTATTCAAGATGGTGTGTGAAGAATCAACCCCTCTGAGAAATGACAAACCAGTTACTCCTTACTGCAGTCCCCCTATACATGTGACTTCCTCAAAGTTTCCCTCACTATGCCCCGCAAAGGCTTCACCATCACTGCCTTCTGCCTGTTGGTTAGGCTTTTTTCCCAGACTCATCACCACCTGACATTTTGAAGTGAGGTGTTCGTTAACCTGCTTATCTGTGTCCTGCATGGGTGAGTTCCCTATGAGCAGGTCCCAGTGGATCCCTGAGACTCAGGTACTGATACAGTCCTATTGCATGAAATCGCAAATGAGCAGAGGTCAGCAGTGTCCACTCTCTTCTAATTCGCACTCTCCATCTCTAGTATGAGATGGAGGTGAGGAGCAGGCCATCTGCAAAGTGTCCTTACACAGTATACCGCACCTTCCTCACAAATAACAAGCAAAAATCAATTTTTTTCCCACCCTGATGCTTAATGGAGGACATGCCATTTGACAAGCCCAAGGAGACCCAGAGTTCAGTGTTTTTTTAAAAATATATTTATTTTTTGGTTGTAGTTGGATACAATGCCATTTATTTATTTATTTATTTATTTATTTATTTATTTGTGGTGCTGAGGATTGAACCCAGGGCCTTGTCCGTGCTAGGCAAGCACTCTACTGCTGAGCCACAACCCCAGCCCCAACACTATCAGTTTTGAAACCTATAGTCTTAACTATCCTACTGGCATGATGGTCTGTGTGTATCTCCATTGGGTTCACTTACAACAAGGACACCTGGCACTGTAATTCCCTTTTTGCCCTCCCTGGATATTGCTGGAGGCTTCCAGTCTTCTGGTCCACCAGTGGGCTGCCTGGCACCCGGTCTCTCTCTTCTGTTCCAGCTGTGATCCCCCTGACAGATTCTGAGCACAAGCTCCTACCCCTGCACTTCGCGGTGGACCCAGGGAAGGACTGGGAGTGGGGGAAAGACGACAATGATAACGCCCGGCTAGCCCAGTAAGACTGTCCCCTGACCTGACTCCCCTAGCACCCCAAAGGGAGGGCTGTCACTAAGGAGGTTTTCCCAGGGCAGGGTTGGACTGCCCCTGTGCCTCCTAGCTTGGGGGCAGAAGGGTGGGGTGCAAGACTGGACCAGCTGTGTTCACTCAGTGTTCTTGTCTTGTCAGCCTCATCCTGTCGCTAGAAGCCAAGCTGAACCTTCTCCACAGCTATATGAATGTGACATGGATCCGGATCCCTTCAGAGACCCGGGTGAGCCTCATGTACTCCTGGTAAAGAGGCGGTGGCCGCTTTGTGCCATCCTGGCCAATGGGCATCCTTCCAAATGCTACCAAAAGCTCATCCATGTGCCATCCAGCTGCCCACACCAAGCCCCACCGGCCCTGCCCCCAGCTCCCTCTGTCCCAGCCGTACTCCGCCAAAGGCACCCTGGCTCTGGCTCCAGACAACTCCTGTTGGATCAGGGGTATAGGTATATGTGTGTAGGTGGGTGTATGTGTGCATGCAAACATGCGTTCCGATTAGGGGATTTTTGTCCCCTTATTTTCTATGGGAGAGGTATAAACATGCCTCAGAAAACAAACTCTAGGCAAGTCACAACACAAAACTATCTCTGTTGAGATCAGAACACAATGTGCTGCAGGGGAGTGGAATTAATTATAAACTGTGTGTGGGTCCTTGGAAGAGCCAGGGAACCGAGGGTGCGCGTCCTCAGTGGCCCCTCCTCTTCCTTCTCTCTGGAGGCAGCACATCACCCTCAAAGCTGCCAGCCCTGGGGTTTGCCGCCCCTGCTTGCAGATGCTGAGATTCATGTTAAGTATCTGACTAATTTCTTTTTTTTTTTTTTTTAATCTTAGTAGGGAACTCCCAGGGGAAGGGATTAAAAAAAAAATACCTTGCAAATCATTGGTCCTCTCTAGACATCAGATTACTTAGGCATCAAGTGGGGCTTATCAGTAATGTTAAAGGAGTGGGATGAGGAAAGCAAGTAGACTGGAAGAGCCAGTTCTTGGGGTGCTAGCACTGCTCAGTGCTCTCACAGTTCCTTACTTCATAGGGATCCCCAGGCAGCTACTGATATTCCATTTTATTAATGGCACAAGTGACAGCCAGTTGGTAGCAGTCTGAGTCCTGCCTCTGAACTGCCTGGAGGATGCCAGTGTTGCTGCAGATATTCTTCAGCACTCACGTTCTGGTATGATGGCAGCAATCCTAGATCCAGAATCAGGACTCTGTCCAGGCATATCTTTGCCCTGCAATGAGAAGGGCCCTTGGCTAGGATTTGGTGGCCATCATATCAAACGCAGAGTTCTCAGTAGAAAATTCTAATAATGGCCCTGCCAGCCCCAGGACATGAGAGCCTAAATTCCTTCTTGTACTTCCCACAAGCAGTCCTGGGACAAAGCATCTCTCCCTTTCCTGGTTCTAGGCCCTGAACTTCCACACTTTAGTGTCTATGGAAAACTGGCTTGAGACATGGGAAGTGGTGAAGCCAGTTCTTCCAGCCCTTGCTTTTGGGAGACCTGACCAAAGGACAGTGACCCCTCTCTTCAACCTACTTAGGGGGAAAGAAAAAAAACTAAATGGGGAGCAATGAGCCTTCTCTTGGGCTCCTTTGGAGGCCAGGAAGCCCATCGAGGTATATGCCAGTTCTGCCACACCCAGCTGCTGGCATGAGGGGCCTTGCCATTCCAGTGACATTGGGTCAGAATTCTCTCTCCTCACCTGGGGAGGTCCCTCTGCAAAGCAGCAGTGGGAGCTACCTCTCCTCCACCATCCTCTCAGCTCCTTCTCAGGTTCCTCACCTGCCCCAGAGATTGGTCTTAACCATATTTCCACAGTGGGTGTCATCCAAGGTGTTCACAAAGATGCTCCTTCCCTAGTGTTCCCCCACCCAACTTCACACCCCCATAGAAGACCTTTTCTGGGAACTGGGAACATCTTTTCTGCTGAGCCCAGACCTATTTCAGAATACTTCTCAAATTAGCATTCCACATTTCCAAACTGGGAAAGGAACCCCCAAAGTGATTTGTCATCACCAAATTAAGGGAGTGTTTTTTCCAAGATGCAAAGACAGGTTCTTAGAGCAAGATAGTCTGGCCAGGGATAGAAAGCCAAAGTCTGGGCTTGTTAACCCTAACTATGACTCTAAAGCTCTAAGCCAGGTAGGTTATATGTACCCTGCCTGCATTCCCCCACTCCCACCTGACTCAGGATTCTAAACTATTAGGTCTCTGAATTCAGAAAGAAAATGAGGGCAGTCCAGCCTCACTGGCCAGATGGCATCCTCAGATAAAAGACCCCTACCACAGCTTTCTGAAAACACCTATCTTTTCATTATTGCAGAAAACCAAGGCCCACTCCTCTGGGCTTCTTTCCCTTAAGCACATCCCATCCCACTTTTGTAGCACTGGAGGGGTAGTCTGGACTGGACCTAAGTGCCAGATCCCCAGCTTCAGCAACCCATGAGCAAGCAACACATGGGCAGGGTCTGTCTTCATGGACTGCAGTGAGGACAGCTCTTCTCCAACCACCTTCCTTCCCCACTTTTCTTCTCTGCCCGTAGGCTCCCCTGGCGCAGCCAGAGTCCCCAACCGCATCAGCTGGGGAGGACGTGCAGTCCCTGGCCGATTCCCTTGACTCAGATCGTGACTCCGTGTGCAGCAATTCCAACAGCAATAATGGCAAGAATGGCAAAGACAAAGACAAGGAGAAACAGCGCAAAGAGAAGGACAAGACCCGAGCGGACTCGGTGGCCAACAAGTTAGGCAGCTTCAGCAAAACCCTGGGCATCAAGCTAAAGAAAAACATGGGTGGCCTGGGAGGCCTGGTACACGGTAAGATGGGCCGTGCCAACTCCTCAAATGGCAAGAACGGAGACACAGCCGAGCGCACCAAGGAGAAGAAGACCAAGTCTCGCAAGGGCAGCAAAGAGGAATCCGGTGCATCAGCAAGCACATCGCCGTCAGAGAAGACCACGCCATCGCCCACGGACAAAGCGGCAGGCTCATCCCCGGCTGAGAAGGGAGGCGGGACAAGGGGTGACGCCTGGAAGTATAGCACTGACGTGAAGCTGAGCCTCAACATTCTGCGCGCTGCCATGCAAGGCGAGCGCAAGTTTATCTTTGCCGGTCTGCTGCTCACCAGCCACCGGCACCAGTTCCACGAGGAAATGATTGGCTACTACTTGACCAGCGCGCAGGAGCGTTTCAGTGCGGAGCAGGAGCAGCGGCGCCGCGACGCCGCGGCCAATGCAGCCGCCGCCGCCGCTGCCACCTCCACAACCAAACGGCCGCAGCGCAGGCCAGAGGCCGAGGGCACTCCGGGAACTGAGCGTGCCTCTCCGGGCCCGCCGGCCGGGCAGCCCACGCAGCTGGTGCTTAAGCTCAAAGAGCGCCCGAGTCCAGGGTCCGCAGGGGGCTCGCGGGCGGCAAGGGTGGCAGCGGGCGGCACCGCCTCTCCTAGCAGCGGCGGCACCCGGCGTGCAGGCGCCAGCGGACAGACCCCTGGCCGAAGCCCGCCGGCGCCAGCGCGCCAGAGCGTCATCCACGTGCAGGCGGCGGGCGCCCGGGACGAGGCCTGCGCACCGACAGTGGGCGCATTGAGGCCATGCGCCACGTACCCGCAGCAGAACCGCTCGCTGTCTTCGCAGAGCTACAGCCCGGCGCGGGCCGCTGCCCTGCGTACGGTCAATACGGTTGAGTCGCTGGCGCGCGCTGTGCCCAACACCCTCCCCGGCGTCACAGGAGCCACAGCAGCAGCCGAGCACAAATCGCAGACCTATACAAATGGCTTTGGCGCTACCCGCGACGGCCTGGAGTTCGCAGACGCCGACCCGCCAGCCGCACGCTCGAGCTCGAACGGTGAGTGCGGTCGCAGCGGTCCTGGGCCGGCGCAGCGGCGTTGCCAGCGCGAGAACTGTGCGTTCTATGGGCGCGCGGAGACGGAGCACTACTGCTCGTACTGCTACCGCGAGGAGCTGCGGCGGCGGCGCGAGGCACGCGGGCCACGGCCCTGAGCGCGTGGTGTGCGGGCGGCGAGGTTTCCCCCAAAAGGATTTCTTTTCCATTCTGTCGGTGTCTTTTTTACATGCTCTGGTCAACCGAAAGGCCGGCGCCTCCTCTGTCAGTGCCGTGTACGTGTTTGGTCAAACGTTCCTAATGGTGCCTGAACCTACACTGACGCCACTCAGGTAGTAGACGGATAGGAAACAAGTCATACTGTTGGAAGTGGGTGTGCTAGCCTAGCATCTGCCTCGTACCTGTGGAAACTCAATAGCCATTGCAAGAGTATTTTTGTTCCTCTATAAGAGAAATAAAGAAATTCGCAGCCCTTTGTTTTTAGAAGGGAGTGTTTTACATGCTTTTTTTTCCCCCCCATATCATCTTTTCCTAACCTAGCGACTGACCTCTTCCAGGTAGCGGTCACTTGCGTGCGGTTGGTAGCACCCAGGGTTTAGGAGCAAATGCGCAGTCCCGGACTTGGGTGGAGGCTCCTCTGCGGCTCCCACCTGCTTTCCATCCCACCCAGGTTCTTGGAGAAAGCAGGGACCTTGCCGCCCGCTGACGCTGTAGTGGTCACTATGGCCCTTTAGGAATACACGGCTCCATTTCATAAGCAAAACCTACTCCCACAACCCTCGTCTCAAGCAACATTCACACTGCCATCCAAGCCGCGGGGGACTGTAGAGTGGGCACCAGAAAACCTACCTCGCAGGGCGTGGTGAGGTGTAGTTAATCTATCCCGGTGCCGGGCAGCTCAGGTGCCAGGAGTTTTCCAAAGACACCTTGGGTCCATAAAACAAGGTTCTGAACTCACAAGTTGGATTGGCCTAAATAAGAGCAAACATGACAGCCTGCTCACATTTCTCCTTTGAAGACACTTCCACAGTGGACTGTCGGAGGGCCTCTTATAAGGTGATAGCACTTCTGTGACCCAGAAGAGAGACAAAGAACTGTGTAAGCCCCCACTAGGCTGCTTTGAAACCCGGCCTGGCCCTCTTTCCAAGGAGAAGGGGCTGAAGGATGCCCGCTCCTGGTAAGGAAGCAAATCCACCCCACACCTCACTTGCATCTGTCTGGGTTCAGCCAGGTAATGGGGCTCACTGTGATTGGGGCCCATCCACAGGGCAGGAATGGTCCTGCCTCTGGCTTCATAACACATTGAGGGAACAGCCCGATATCCGAGCCGTCTTTTTTGGTGCCTCCTACATTTCTTGAGGAAATTAAAAAAAAAAAAAAAATGTGTCCTTAGCTACCCTGTTTTGAGCAGCAATATGCAGCCTTTTCCTTCCAAGATTACCTCTGGAGACTACCATTCTTGGCCAAGGACACTGAGGAGCTAAACCTGCCTCACTAAGAAAAGAGCTTGTTTCCAGGAAATAAGGATAAGATGGGTAAAATCGTCACTAACAAACTAATACTTCCAAACCTGTGAGAGCTTTAGAATAGTCTCTGATGATCCTAAAGAAAGAAAGGAGAAAGCACCTGGCTTCCAGTCAGCTTATCCTCAGAAAATTCAGGAGCAATGGGGTAGGGGTGGGGGGTCATCTCTTCATTGGGGCCAGCTTCTTCTCCTGAAAGGATGCTTTTTCCCTGTGATATAAAGAGCAGCAAAAGCAAAAAAACTAACTAAATAAATAAAAATTTAAAAAAGATGGGGAGGGAATTTTTTTTACTTGTTTGAAAAAATTATAATAAAATAACTGAGTATATCTCCTGTGAGTAATTATTTTTTGTTTTTAATTATCCCACAGCCCGTAGAGTTTTCAGTAATTTATTGAAGTTTTGCAGAAGTGGTTCCTTAGATCAGATTATTTATTAAATAGAATCTTTAAGACTTTTTTCAAAGTTTTACTTTTCATGCTAATGAAAATACTTTCAATGTGAGATAATTACTAGCATCCACCTCCCTAATATAGTACTGGGTTTCTTTTATTACTCAGAAAAAAAAAAGTAGTTTTTAAAAAAATCTCTCATTGAGAGGGTCTGTGGCAGCTTTTTTGGACTGGTTCTTTTCATCACATCACTCTGAACAGCTACTTCACCTTCCAAAGCTGTGGGTCACAGAAAGTATTGCTCCCAGTGTATATAGCACCTGCTTATGCTCCTCATCCTTAGAAGGTTAAGATAGCCAACCTTAAAAATGCTTAAATGTGCATTCAGCAACCAAACTCATGCACAAGAAGTTAAGGAATATAAATACTCAGATTTTTTTTTCAATTTTTTAATGTTAAGACAGCCAACTAGAAATTTCCAAAACTGGCTATGCAAATCATCTTTTTCATGCTCTCATCCATATTTCAAACAAAAAGACAAACTGAAACTAAAAGTAGTTCATTGTAATAAAGGAAAATTTTCTAAACAGGCGGAGTAGTATATATGTATTATCAAAAAAATGAAGAAGTGTTCTATGTGCTTGCATTGCCAAGTTATCTCCACCCCACCTCCATTTGATGACAGATGTGCCATAAATAAGAGCCTGGGATATAGCCTCTGACTGTGACTTTGGCTTCTCTGGCCATGTGAAAGGCCTCTAGTCACTCTGCTTGGTCACAGGGTGAGCTAGATAAGCCTAGGCACCTATTGGTGCCTGCTCCATGCTGCCACCTTACAACTCAGTCCACACAATTTAAGAATACCATTTTCTTTTTTGAGAGATCCATCCTTTAAACAGAGTTTAAAAATACAAAAGTGAAAGAGTGGATTGTAATATGAAATGTTCTAGACCTGAGCACCCACATCATGCTCCAAGTTGTTCACAAGAGCTCTTTAGACTTGGTCTGTGGCCAAAGGCCCTCTTAGTTCTGGCTTGGGGCAGGAACTATTAAAAGCTGTGTTAACTATATGTGGTACATGAAATTCTCTAATATTCTTCTATGATTTGTGGGCCCTTTGTAGATTAGGAAAAGGGAAGAAGGCAAGTGCCACCTGTGCCATGGCAGACTCTGACCATGAGCTGCCTACCCATCTGATCTGGCCAAACTTCCCTTTCTGGGAAGGATGGATGGATGTCTCTGAGCAACAGCATGTTTCCAGAAGGATCCCAGATACTTCTAAGCTCCTGTGGAGGTTATTTCAGAAATTTACTTCACATTTCCTGTACATGCTTTACCCAGGTAAACAGTTTTTTAAAAAATATTCTTAAGGGAAGGTGTTTTTCAGTGTATTCTGTTTGTGGATTTCGTGGAATGTTACATTGAAATTTTACAAGTCAAGTTTAAACTGTACTATAGAGATTATTTTTATATTATTTTCAGAACATGCCACAGAGCAATATTTTGCACCATTATTGTCACAGGGTTGTCCCTTAGAAGGGTAACTAGCTGTGGGAAGGGACACCACTCTGGACTCTTGGGATTTAAGTGCTTTTTGCTGTTTGTGCAAATACCCTCTGAAAGCAGAAATGTATAAATGTCTTTTCTTTTTTAATTGAGAGCTTGATTTTCTTTTTCCTGTTCATAGGTTTTTCGTACTGCACCTTTCCTGAATATTTTATATTCACTAAGTTACTCTAGACCTTTTCTTAGCTATTACCACACAGTGTCATTTGAATCCCTTACTTTACAAATTTAATGTTTTCCAAAATAATTTATTAATTCTACTGGTTTACTATCAGAAATTTGGTGGCATGAGATAAAAAGACTCTCCGCATCCCCAGGTGCACACCTCAGGATGTCAAAATCCTCCATGTGCCACCCACCCATGTCTTGCGGGGGGAGGGGAGGGATGGTGGGTGCCTCACTGTCCCCTGCTTATTATCCAAATACAAACTTTATCTAGCAAATATATGTCATATTAGTTTTTTTAAAAAAGGGCTGTACCTTTGAATTTGTGCAAAGAAAGAAATTTGTGCAAAGAAAAAAGACTTCCAAACCAGTGTGTGTAAGTTCCATTTAATGAGTCTTTTTTGTTTACTGAGACATGTTGAAGGCATCAACTGGATGTTTGAGACTCCCCACCTAGTGGGGACTTCACAAATTAAGTTCCTCCAGCATTCTGTTCATTTCTTCCAATACTTTTAATAAATAAAAATTAGATGTGTTTCTGTGGCTGAGCCACAGTCAAGCTGTGGCCTTGGCCCCATTGGGCTATAGAGGTGGCACCTGCTCTGACTGAGAGTCTGATTCTTCTGTCACTTCAAGATAGGCATATACAAAGGGCCCAAAGGTGGCCGGTGCTCCTGGCTCCAGAGAGCAGGCAGCCCCTTCCAAAAAGCTTTAAAGTGTTGGCTCTCTGGAGACCTCTTCCCACTTCCCTGTTACTCCTGACTCTGACCTCTCTTTTCTAATATAATGGCCATTCTGGTGTGGCTCTTCAGGGCAGGGACCTCAACTTCATTCATGCTTAAATCCAATCCACCCCACTGCCCTTGTCCATTCTGCAGCACTGATCCTGTTGGCCCAGAAGGTGGTTGTGTAGTATCACCTAGTTATCAGGGAGGTGGGGCCAGGGTAGTTCATCCTAGAGAGACCAACACACACCCAGACTCTGCCCCATACTTCCAATGCGGAGGGCCCCCACATGCACCCCAGAGGCCCAGGGCATACTGTTTTATGAGATTTTCATGACAGCTATAAGCAGTGTGCAAGATGGTCTATTAGCAGGTATGCAGGTAACTTTCCCAAGTCCCATTCTTCCGTCCTACTCCAACCCCAACAGAGAAGAGAGAAGATGCCCTACAGGGACACCCCCTCCCCCAGGAGCAGCCAGGCATGCATCTAATCAGTGCAGAGAATTTCAGGCTGAGCCGAAAACATACTCACAGGAACAGCACAGAAGCCATTATCTACAGATACACTAGAAATGTGACTTTCTATTTATCTTCCGAAATAATTTTTTGAAATTTGCATTTTTAGTATTTTAGACTTGCAAAAAATAAATAAATAAGTAAATAAACTGGGTCCTGCCAACCCTAACTATGTATATACCAAATGATGCATATTGCTTCTTTTTTATTCCTCCCGAAGAGCATCTCAAAGAGATACATATATACACATACCAACTATTAATTTGACACCAGATGAGGAGTACCAGTTGGTTTGAAGGGTAAATATAGGCAGAATCTGCCCAAGACCAAAGCAATCTGTTAATGTAATAAGGACAAGTAGCTATTTCAGAATGTATCTCCAAATACTGAAGGACTACTTTAAATGAAGAACTAGCTTCCCATCACAGAACAAAAACCAAGACCTTACAAAGATTATTCCCACCCCTGTATGACTTTGCCCAGAGACTGAGGCCATCTTTA